TGGGTATGTCTAATTTAATGAAGAGAAGGACGAGGGGGCATATGATAGCAGTGTTCTAATATCTCAGGGGCTGCCATAAAGAAGAGGGAGTCAAGCTGTTCTCCAAAGCGCCTGAAGTTAGGACAAGAAGCAACAGATGGAAACTGATCAAAGAGAGAAGCAACCTAGAACTAAGGAGAAACTTCCTGACAGTTAGAACAATTAACCAATGGAACAACCTGCCTCCAGAAGCGGTGAATGCTCCAACACTAGAAGTTTTTAAGAAGAGAGTGGACAGCCATTTGTCTGAAATGGTATAGGGCCGTGGTGGCGAACCTATGGCACATGTGCCACAGGTGGCACGCAGAGCCCCCTCTTTGGGCACGTGCGCCGTCGCCCCAGTCCTAGGCTTTCAGCTGGGTTTTATAAAACCATTTCGCTTTAGCCCTCCGCCGCCGTGTCCAAAAAATAAAAAAAGTTTCAATCAATCAATCGAATTCAACTTCTCGTGGGAAAAAAACAGACCTTGCAGAGTTGGAATTGATTGAACTTTTTAGTCCCACCCAGTGTGCCATTACCACCGCAGCCACGCCCACCCAATGGGCCACGCCCACCCAATTGGCAAACCCCACCCAATGGGCCACGCCTACCCGGCACCTGACAATACATAAGTGGGTTTTGGGTTGCAGTTTGGGCACTTGGTCTCTAAAATGTTCACCATCACTGGTATAGAGTTTCCTGCCTGAGCAGTGGGGTTGGACTAGATGACCTCCAAGGTCTCTTCCATCATCATCATCACCACCACTACCACCACCATTATTATTATTATTATTATTATTATTATTATTATTATTATTATTATTATTATTATTATTATTATTATTATTATTATGTACAGGAGCGATTCACAAGGAAGATCTCAGCAGAGCTACAGAGAAGAGGAGATCAACCCAGCCCTTCTCAGGAGCTGTTTTTCAGAAGGATTCAACTTGGGCTACCTTGGCAGGTAAGAGCAGATTTCTTCTGAGAGCAGTAAAGTTCCAGCTCTGTCCATTCATGAGCTGCTTTAACCACTAAATGCTGAGTCTGTGTGCATCTGAACACAGTGTCGTTCCCCCTCCCGAAGCTCCTGCTGAGTCATACTCAGCTTTCAAGATGGTTCTGGAGATCCAAACAAGAGACAATTCACAGGCAGGGAACCTTGTATTAGAAATGTAATTTATTTGTAGAAAAAAATAGTATTAAGTAGTATTAATACTACTTAATACTATTCAGAAGAGTGCCTAAATGAGGTAGAAATCAAAGCCAGGAATTGAAACAATAACAATGGGATTAAACATACTTGAGAAGTATTTGTTTGTTTGTTTATTTTAATTAAATTTTTATGCCACCCATCTCCCTTGTAAGGTGACTGAAAGTATACCAGCAAAAATAAACCACATTAAGGATAAACCAGTAAGGCAACACAAAGTGGCTGTAACAATAAAACTGTTGGTCAAGTGACTTGGGATTTCAAGGACATTGCCAATATTTTGAAATAGCTTAGGAAAGACGTTCCTAAGGAATTTGGTCAGCAGCACAGGTGAGTCTAGGGCAGTGATGGCGAATCTTTTAGAGACCGAGTACCCAAACTGCAACCCAAAACCCACTTATGCATTGTCGAGTGCCGGGTGGGTGTGGCCCATTGGGTGGACGTGGCTGCGGTGGGAACGGCAGACTGGGTGGGACTAAAAAGTTCAATCAATCAATTCCAACTTTGCAAGTTCTTTTTTTTCCTTGCGAAAAGTTGAAATTGACTGATTGAACTTTTTTTTTTTTTTTTGCAGATGACGGCGGAGGCCTAAAGCGAAAAGGTTTTATAAAACCCAGCTGAAGGCCTAGGACTGGGGCGATGGCACGTGTGCCCACAGAGAGGGCTCTGAGTGCCGCCTCTGGCACCCGTGCCATAGGTTCGCCACCATGGGTCTAGGGGATTTTGCTGCCCCAAACCTCCTGCCTGAGTTATTCCAGCCCAGTGGCAAGCTCCCCAAGCCTGGCTATGTTGCATTCTACAACCTGAAAGCACCAAAGCCTTGATTTGTTGCAGCTACTGCTTCCCAGCCCCAAGGATTATGTGAACATGAAGACATGAATATGTCCTTTTCACCGTGTAAGAGGTTTTATGAACTGGAATAGCCATAGCAACAAACCAACTGTTTGGAACGTGGCTCAAGATCCCAAAACAAACAAACTCACTTGGAATTCCAGCAGCAGAGTTTTATTCAAAACTAGCTGTACCCGGCCACGCGTTGCTGTGGCTCAGTCTCGTTAAATGGAAAAGAAAGAAAAGAGAAAGCGCACGTTTGTAATATGTTTAATTTCACAATGCTTGTGGGTATACGTTATTTTTTGTTGTTCCATTGTCTGTGCAGATATAGAGATTGTCTGGTTTGCCGACTCTAGAACACGCAACATATAATTGTCCATGTGAGAAGCAATCCGTGTCTAGATCTAAACCGCACAATCCGTCCAACAGATGGCGCTGTTTTTCACAAAAAGCATGTTTTTACCTGTCACAGGTGTGACAGCTATATAATAGTAGGCATATAAAAACACGCGTGTATTCGAATGCAACGTTGTGTCAAAATTTCAAAGCAATCGGTGAAGAACTTTCGGAGATTTAAGATTTTGAACAAACGAACATTTACATTTTTATTTATATATAGAAGATAAAGCGTTTGCAAAAGCTTGGTGGACTGAAACACACACAGGAGTTCAGCCACACCTTAAAAAGCTGTTAGACACATTTTTATATCCTACTCCTGATGCAGATTCCCCCCTCCCCTGTCGCATTCAATACCCCTTATCTAATCATCCAATACCTACTTCGGACTGCCTAAAAAGATTATCCCTTCCTATGTTCCAGGAAGACCCTTTGTTCATATCCTATCTTTCACCATCTAATTTTCTGTTAGCACAGCTCGGCTCCTATAGTTATTTCGATATTTCCTCTGCTTGCAATTTCAGTTAGCTAGCGAATTCTGCTTTTCACATTTGTACCTGTCAACATTACATATTATTATTTCTGATCTTTAGTTGGCTTCTGCGTCTTCTGACAACCTTTATAGACTCATTAGAAATTTCTGAATAATACTTTATTCCTTTCACAACCAATGAGAACTGTTTTTGATTAAGACACAATATTGGCTGTGTGAGGCATGTGATCCAGCCTAGGTCTGGGCGTGTCTTAGTCTTCTCTCTGTTGTTTTTTTTCTGATCTCCAAGTTAAGAGTTGTTGATGTTCCCCAGAGATGAATGAAACTGTATGTATCATGTTTATAAATATTTTATAGATAAAGTTTTTCTAAACTATGCCTCCTGCTCATTTTGAATGTATGCTTATCTTGGGGGCTTATTTTTGCACTGGAAAGCTGTAAACTCTTTTAACAGTCCTGAATGAAAATGTCCATCTGGTCTCTTGCCAATGTCTGTTTACTATTGCGTGCAGTAAGAGAGAAAACTTAGAACTGTTTCCTGGAATTGTCTGCTAAAGAACAGGTTTTTTTTCTCTTTCTAGAGCTCTGATCCCTTTGAGGAGGTGACTGTGGACTTCACGGAGGAAGAGTGGAGGCTGCTAGATCATGGCCAGAAGGCCTTGTGCAAGGAAGTCATGCAGGAGTTTTCTACGAATATGGCTAACCTGGGTAAGGCGAGGCTGCTCATCTTTCTATAAGGCCGTGGCAGAAATACTCACCAAAGATTTGGCAAATTTCCTAGATCAGGGCTTTTCAACCAGTGGTACGGGTACCATCTGTGGTACATTGGCACATGGCAGGTGGTACACAACCATCCTAGAAAAGTGGTAGCAGGGGAGGGGAATGAGCTGAACCAGTGGCAGCACCGCACAAGCCGGAGCGAGAGATGGCTGGAGCTGCAGGGCTGTCAGGGCTCAGCGGAAGCGCTGGGATTAGTGCTGTTTTCCAGCTGAACGGCGCTTCTTCGGGGCTGTCGGGGCTCAGTGGAATTGCCAGGATCAGCGCCAGGCTCCAGCTGGACCTCGGCACTGATCCTGGCGCTTCTGCTGAGCCCAGAAGAAGCGCCGATCAGCTGAAATGTTGTAGCATCTCCAGGGTCTTGTGATTTACATTCAGATGCTTGGCAACTGATTCATATTTATGACGGTCACAGTGTCCCAGGGTCATGTGAAGTGACCAAAACCTGCTGCAACCACCCAGCAGACGGGGGGAATAAAAACCAAACACACCCACCCCACCCCCACTGCCAATCCTCAACAGAAATGCCTCACAACAATTAAAACCTTGGACAGGAGGAAGAGCGCGGCCAGGCGAGCAGGCAGGTGTCTTGCTCGGCTATGGCTTGGGGAGCACTTTTTTCAGTGCCATTGTAACTTCGAACAGTCACTAAGCAAAGTGTTGTAAATCGAGGACTACCTGTACTTTACTTTTTTCCTTTTTTTTTGGGTCCTCAAGTTTTTGACACCTTCCTAGGTGTCTGGTGGTACTTGGATGTTGCCATATCCTAAAAGTGGTACAATGGCTGAAAAGGTTGAAAAGCCCTGTCCTAGATAGTCCACGGAAGTGACTGTGCAGATTGACTGATCAACAACTTAATATGTTTCTTGGCTGAAAAACTTGTATCCCATCAGTCTCCCAGATAACAATTTGCAGATATCAAATCCTGGCTAGACAAGTGGATTGTACCAAACCTGCAATGCAGATTGGCATGTTTTTGAGGGGGGAAACACCCCCTGCCTCACCCTTTTAAATTCTAAACAGAATGTTAATTTTCTTTTTTTCAAAACAGATGATGTGTCTGTGAATGAGAACAACAAGCAGGCAAGGTTAAATCTACTCCAAACAGAGAAGAGTGAAGTGATATTTGGTACCAAAAGGCAAGAGGGAAGACATTTAGAAGATGGAGGGGAGAAGTCATCCACATCTCTTCCTGCTGATACTTGTGGCTTCCTGTCCCAGCCGGAACAGAAAGAAAAGAGAAATGAAAAATATAGAAAAAAAGAAAACATGACTTTGAATTACATCAATATGGCAGAAACCAGACTAAAGAAAAACTGCATGCCTCTAGACACTATGGAGAATAATTCTGTCATTCCTACTTCACCAAAGAAACTGTATAGGAAACTCAGATCACATACCTCTGTAAAATCTGGAGGGGATTCCAGTCTGAGCATAACAAGGGAAGTGTGCATGCAGAGTGGAAAGAGTTTCAGTAGCAAAAGTAATCTTAATTTCCACACTGGGGAGACATCACATAAATGTCGGTATTGTAGAAAGACCTTTACCCAGAAAGGACATCTTAACCTTCATAAAAAAATCCATACTGGGGAGAGACCATACAAATGCTTGGAATGTGGAAAGGCCTTTATCCGGAAAGACCAGTTTGATCTTCATGAAAGGATCCACACTGGGGAGAAACCATATCAATGCTTGGAGTGTGGAAAGAGCTTTGGTATCAAAAGTAGTTTTAGTCGCCACCAAAGGAACCACACAGTGGAGAAACCACACAAATGCCTAGAGTGTGGAAAGAGCTTCATTATCAAAAGTGCCCTTATTCTTCACCGCCGGATCCACACGGGAGAGAGGCCGTATAAATGCATGGAATGTGGAATGAGCTTAATTAGCCAGGGTAAATTTAATCGCCACCAAAGGATCCACACAGGGGAGAGACCATATAAATGCAAGGTGTGTGGAAAGAGCTATACCCGGAAAGGACATCTTAATCGGCATGTAAGTATCCACACAGGGGAGAGTGTCATGGCCCCATCGGAGCCTAGTTCGGAGGAGGAGGAGGAGGAGTTGGAACTGGGACTGTCCGACAGGGATGACACATCTCCTTTGGCATATTTGGAGAGGCCAGTGGCTGTCCCAGGCCCCTCAGGCCCTGGGGGAGGTGATCGACAAGACGGAGAGCTGCCTGCCTGCAAAGACACGGGAGGATCGGCTGCTGGCTGGTAGTGGTGCTGATAGGCAGCAAATCTCTGATGAGGAACAGCTGGCTCCTCCACTGATCCAAGGGCAAGGAGAGTGGGGCGCAGGCAAGCCCAAAGAAGGGCTGCAAGGCTACTCAAGAGAAGATCGCCCCACCCCTACTCACAAGGAACCCCTGGAGTGGACTGATTTAAGGAGAAGCTATGGGGAGTTAGTCTTTTCCAGGAACAATTGTTTGCTTTGGATTACATTCCCCCTGCTTTGATTCGTGCCTGTTGCTGTTTGCCTTGCCTTGCCTTGAAGATTGCTCTTAGCCTTTTGTCTTCGACCTTGCCCTTGTTTTGTGGACTGCTTTTGGCCTTTGCTTCGCTCTGCCTGTGGAACTGCTTCTTGCCTTGGACCTTTTCTTTGCCCAGAGGACTGCCATTGACTTGTACCTGGACTCTGCCTTGTGGACTGGACTTGGAACCCTAGACCTTGCCTTGTGAGTGTGCTGGGGACTTTATTTGTACTATAGGGATTGTTGTTTGGGGGACTGAGGGTGGCTGCCTTCAGGGTAGTCTTACCAGTCCTTGGAGGGCTGTTTGCTGGACCATTGGTTCAGATAAATAAAGGACTCTCTAGAGCAGGGCTTTTCAACCTTTTCACCCATTGTACCACCTTTAGGATATGGTAACATCCGAGTACCACCAGTCGCCTAGCAAGGTGTCAAAAACTTGATGACCAAAAAAAAAAAAAAGTGATAAAAGTACAGATAGTCCTCGACTTACAACAGTTCGTTTAGTGACTGTTCGAAGTTACAATGGCATTGAAAAAAGTGCCGCCCAAGCCACAGCCGAGCAAGACACCTGCCTGCCCACCCGGCGGCGCTCTTCCTCCTGTCCGAGGTTTTCATTGTTGTGAGCATTTCTGTTGAGGATTGGCAGCAGGGGTGGGGTTTTTATTCCCCCCCCCCGTCTGCTGGGTGGTTGCAGCAGGCTTTGATCACTTCACATGACCCTGGGACACTGTGACCATCATAAATATGAATCAGTTGCCAAGCATCTGAATGTAAATCACAAGACCCTGGAGATGCTGCAACATTCCAGCTGATCGGCACTTCTTCTGGACTCAGCAGAAGCGCCAGGATCAGTGCTGCTTTCCAGCTGATTGGTGCTTCTTCAGGGCTCAGCAGAAGCACCAGGATCAGCGCCGAGCTCCAGCTGGAGCCTGGCACTGATCCTGGCGCTTCCACTGAGCCCTGACAGCCCTGCAGCTCCAGCCATTTCTCACTTAGGCTTGTGCGGTGCTTCCACTGGTTCAGCTCATTCCCCTTCCCCGCTACTACTTTTCTAGGATGGTCGCGTACCACCTGCCAGGTGCCAATGTACCACAGGTGGTACCCGTACCACTGGTTGAAAAGCCCTGCTGTTGAGAACCGGGCCATGCAAGCGGTGGGCAAACTTGTGAAGCTTCATTTGCATATGCAGGGGATTAGGTTGTGTGTGCAAAACTATCCCCTCCGAGAAACCACCATCGCTGCAAGTCTGTGAAGCCCAAAAAGTTTGGGGACCGTTTGCATAAACTACATAAGTGCCCGGAATGTGGAAAAAAATTTATTTGGAAAGGAAGTTTTACTTATTATAAAAAGCAACGGGGAGAAAGCAGAACTACTTAACTTGGGTTTTTTATGCATCCGTCTTTACCCAAAGAGAAAAAACAGTCTAACCTAACAAAAAGAGTACCGTAAAAAAACAGATTAGAAAAACAAGTTCAGATGGGCAAGAAAATGGTGAGCACCTGTCCACCCTAGATGAGTTCAGTTCACCAGGACTAGATGAATTATACCCCAAGGTTCTGAAGGAACTGGCAGATGTGATCTCAGAACCACTAAATTATTCCCACTGGGGAACTTCCAGAGGACTGGAAAAGAGCTGATGTAGTTCCCATCTTCAAAAAAGGAAAAAAAAATGGATCCAGGAAACTACAGACCTATCAGCCTGATCTCAATACCTGGAAGATTCTGGAAAAGATAATTAAGCAACGAATCAGCGAACGCCTAGAGGCAAACAAAGTCATTACTAAAAGCCAACATGGGTTTGTCAAAAACAGATCATGCCAGACAAATCTTATTGCATTCTTTGACCAAGGGACAAAATTAGTGGACCAGAGGAATGCTGTGGATATAATTTACTTGGACTTCAGTAAGGCATTTGATAAAATAAACCATAACCTACTACTTGATAAGATAGAAAAATGTAGGTTAGGCATCATCACCACCAGATGGATTCGTAGCTGGCTGACCGGCTGTACTCAGTGTGTGGTCCTCAATGGAACTACATCTACATGGAGGGAAGTATGTAGTGGGGTGCCCCAGGCCTCTTCAACATCTTCATCAATGATTTGGATGAGGGGATAGATGGGAAACTCATCAAATTTGCAGATGACACCAAGCTGGCAGGAATAGCCAGCACTCCAGAAGATAGGCTTAGGATACAGAAGGATCTTGACAGACTTGAACATTGGGCGCTATCTAACAAAATGAAATTCAATGGTGAAAAAAGTAAGGTTCTACATTTAGGCAAGAAAAACCAAATGCACAGGTATAGTATAGATGGTACCTTGCTCAATAGTAGTAACTGCGAGAGGGATCTCGGAGTCCTAGTGGACAATCACCTAAATATGAGCCAGCAGTGTGCTGCAGCTGCCAAAAAAGCCAAAAACATAAAGAACGGTTGCTGGAATTGGGTATGTCTAGTTTAGTGAAGAGAAGGACGAGGGGTGACATGATAGCAGTATTCTAATATCTCAGGGGTTGCCACAAAGAAGAGGGAGTCAAGCTATTCTCCAAAGCACCTGAAGGCAGGACAAGAAGCAAAGGATGGAAACTAATCAGAGAGGCAACCTAGAACTAAGAATTTTTCTGACAGTTAGAACTATTAATCAGTGGAACAACCTGCCTCCAGAAGCTGTGAGTGCTCCAGCACTGGATGTTTTTAAGAAGAGACTGGACAACCATTTGTCTGAAATGATATAGAGTTTCCTGCCTGAGCAGGGGGTTGGACTTGAAGACCTCCAAGGTCCCTTCCAAATCAATTATTGTTATTATTATAATAATAATTATTATTATAGATCGATACAGGTAAGGCAACATATAAATGCACAAAGTGTGAAAAGAGCTTTAATGACTACAGCACTTTTAATTGTCACAGAAGGACCCACACAGGAGAAAATTAGAAATACACAAAAAGTGGGGCAACCTTCACTGAGTATGCTTGCTTCTCATAAAACGATCTCCACACAGGAAAACTAAGTGAAATCCGTGGATTGAGCTTTATTCTCAACGGTCAACTTCATCCTCATCCAAGGATCCAGACATGGCAGGGATCTTATTCGTGGAATGTGCAAAGATCATAGGTGTGTGCTGGAATCTTATTTACTGTCGGTCAGCCGGATCTCCCGCTTGCTTGCCCTCAGCTGCCATAGAAACGGGCCTGGGGGGGTTGGCATTCGGGGTGGGGAAGTGAGCCAGTTTGAAGTGTTCCCATGAGAAATTGGAGGATTGCTACCTATTAACGGAGTGGAGTTGTTTAGACTTTACCAAGGCCAACCGTCCTGGGCCTCCGGAGGCATACAACATCCGCAGAAGAGGGTTTCTCATAATATCACATTGGATGTTGATTCATCTGTCTGAGCTGGACCCCGGGGGAAGGGGAGGAAGGATTTGGAATGACTTTCAATGTGTAATTTTCATGCAGATTTTACTCAGCGCTTGCTTTGCTTTTGCTGTAACAGTTCGTTTTTAGTAAAAGTACCTCTTTTCTAAATCCATGGAGTCGGGTTTTCTTTCTTAGGATTTCAATGGCGGCAGACCTGACACCATCCATGTAGCTATACAGGAGGAAAAGTATAAGCACTGGAATTTGGAAATTGATAGTGAACCAATGACCTTACTTATCACAGGATGATGCCCTTCTTCTTGAGGCAAATGCTTCCGTTTCCTCTCTGGGATGATTCATGAAAGTCAAGCCTATGTTAATCTCCAACTTCCCTGAGGGGTGTAAGAAGCTCCAGAGATTGGAGCAGTGGCCACAATTCATTCTCTACCCTCCCATTCTTTCTTCTACTGCAGAAATCAGTTGAGGTGCTTTTTCCATTTCAGCTGATGTTCTTCAAAGTATTCATGCTCGTTGTGAATATAGCAAGCCTTATTGTTAAAGTCTTACATGCCTCCGTTTCTCCTCCTTACAAAGAATCAATGAGAAAAGACTTCTATGGAACACGGATAGGGATGGGGTAATGGGATGTGGAAATGACTTTGGGAGATGGGGAAGAGTGCAGACTGGACAAACACCAGGGAAAAGGTGTCATCGGCAGCCAAACCCCTCCCCCAGCTCCCAGAGCAAGCAGGCGTATTTCCCAGAAAGTGTTCCCTCTTTGGCCCCTGACAGAGCCAAGAAAGGCATCCAAGAGAGAAAGGCCCAAGAAGGTACCTGGTCTCCACAAACTGCCCTCTGAATCTGGGATGTCCTGGTCAGAGAGCCAGAAGCAGGGACCCTTCGGGTCTCCTTGGTCCTACAACAAGGAAAGAGTCAGAATTGCCCTCCTAGCTTCACTCTTCCTGTCCTACTATGGGATTTCACAGATAGATTACCCCTCCCCAACTATAATGCAGTAACAGTCCTCCCATTGGTCCAGAACTTTCACTGTGCTCTTCTGCAGTTCTCTTAAAGTGCCCCGAATACCAATACTGGGGGGGGGGGATATAAGAACCAACTGATAGCAGGGTTCCAATATCTCAGGGGCTGCCACAAAGAAGAGAGAGTCAAACTATTCTCCAAATCGCCTGAAGGCAGGACCAGAAGCAGCGGATAGAAACTAATCAAAGAGAGAACTAACCTAGAACTAAGCAGAAACTTCCTGACTGTTAGAACAATTAAGCAGTGGAACAACCTGCCTCCAGAGGCTGTGAATGCTCCAACAATGGAAGCTATTAGGAAGAGACTGGACAGCCAATTGTCTGAAATGGTATAGGGTTTCTTGCCTGAGCAGAGGGTTGGACTAGATGACTCCAAGGTCCCTTCCAATTTCATCATCATCATTATCATCATCATCATTACTATTAAAAATACAAATATATATAGCAATAAAATAATACCTCTGAAATAATAAAAATAAAAATTAACGAAAGGAACAATCAAACTACTGTACAAATGCTTAATTTTGCACGTGGCTTCCCTCTTCACAGGAATTTATCACCCAAACCCTATTGTAACAGCCAGAGTTGAGTTGGGACTGGAAGTAAGCGGTTCTTGTTTCCTATTTACAAACTGCCTGTAATGCTTGATCAGACAGAGAAAAGCCTCCTACAACAAATTATTAAATTAAGGGGTGGGTATAAGAAGCAACTTTGCAACATTTTATTCTGAGTTCAATTCTCCTCTTTTAGCAGAAGACTTAAAGTGAGCACAGTGATTTGATTTTCAAAGAACTGAGAGATAGCTAGCTATTAGCACCCAAAAGAAACACTTCAGACATCAGAATTAGCCCAAACCCTGAAACAAGTGGGCAATTTCCTTCGAAAAAAAAGAAATATTACAATTAAATATTACAAAGGCAATCCCGACCCATAAACCTGCCATCACAGATGGATGTTAAATAATAAATCATAGATATTTTGATATTGTAAATTCAACACCTGAAGGAAAAAAGTATAATTCGTGTGTAAAGCATGCAAATTGCTCCTCTGGGAAGTCCATTTAGTTGTTATATGGAATTAAGAATTTGTTTTAGCTTGTTCCTTTCAGCGGAGGCTCTCCGACTTTCCCGCAGGGCGCAGCACCTGGGCAGGCTGACGAAGAGGGGCAACGCCGAGATCATCGGTCCGTCCCTGCCCGTTGCAAGCATCGCCATTCCAGCCTCCGCTTCCACCGCCCGCCTTTCAACGAACCCCACCCCACTCCGAAGAAGAAGAGCAGCGGAGCAGACATTCTGGAAGGCCGGAAAAGGAAGGTCCCCTTTCATTTTCTTCCTACCAGGTCCCCTCTAGGAAACACAAATCTCTCGTTCTGGCTCCTTGTATAGCAGGAGTCTTCAGACTTGGCCTTTTTGACTTCTGGACTTCAACTCCCAGAATTCCTCAGCCAGAGTGCCAGGAGCGCTCAGGAAATTGGCGGGAAGGATTTGCCGTTGCTCTCCTCAGGCGGGTAAAGGCCGAGTGAGCGGAGACCCATTTCTGCCCTCCTGCAAACCGGAGAAGGGGTTTCGGAGGGGCCGGGGGGGCATTTGGGACTCTCTCGGGCTCCTTTTGGCTGCCCTCGAGCAGGAGACCCGACGGAGGCCCAGGGATCGCCAGGGATGGAGGCCGCCCTCAGCCCAGAGATCCACCGGCGGCGCTTCCGCGGTCTGGACGGCTGCCGCCAGGAGGCCGAGGGGCCCCGGGAGCTTTGCAGCCGCCTGCACCGCCTGTGCCGCCAGTGGCTGCGGCCGGAGAGGAGCAGCAAAGGGGAGATGCTGGACCTGGTGGTGCTGGAGCAGCTGCTGGCCCTGCNGGGGTGGGTGGGAGGGAAGGATCAGAGATCTAGCCATGTCTCTAATAAGAGAGATTAAAAATATGACTCTGCAGCCTTTTCTGGAATTCCTCACCTTTGAAGAATTGATTTCTCCTTGAGGCAAATGCTTCTGTTTCCTAAATTAATTTATCCTTTTACACCTCTGTATCCTTTTTGATATTATCCACATATTTCATTATGATCAGTGTTTACTTTGTGATCTGCTGTTACCTGATAAAGGGGAAGCAACTGGATTATGTGAATGGCCTCTGATAGAGAGCCATGTTTAATTTGTTGTATAATATACCACAATAGTAAGAGAAACAAACTTAATTAACGCACCCTTACATTTTATGTACATAAAAAACACAATTCCTATTCATCATTTACTCAGAAGTGTCTCTGAATTGGGTTGGGGAAGTACAAGTAGGGAAGGAAAAGCTAAGGAATGCAAACTAACATGGATATGGTCCTCTGAAAGTGGGTTATGAATTAGCTTGTTCTTCTGATGTAGGAGCCTTTCACAGAGGAGATTTCAGCAGAGCTCCGGGGCAGAGGAGATCTATTCCGCTCTATTCAGGAGCTGTTTTTCTGGAGGATCCAACTCTGGCCACCTTGCCAGGTAAGTGCAGGTTTCTTCTGAGAACAGTAGCGTTCCAGCTCCATCCATTCAGGAGCTGTGTTTAATACCAAAAGCTGAATCTGCGTGCACTTGAACACAGTGTCCACCCACATTTGGCTTTCAAGATTGTGCTGGAAATGCCAATGAGACAATTCATAGGCAGGAACCTTTTGTTAGAAATAAAATTTAATTGTAGAAAGAGTTTAATATTTCTTAATACTATTAAAAAGAGTGCCTAAAATAGTTAGAAATGAAACCCATGAATTGAAACTATAACTGGGGGATTAAACATACCTGAGAGGTGTTTATTTTATTAAATATTTATGCTACCCGTCTCTCTTGTAAGGTAACTGTAAGTATACCAAGAAAAATATAGCACATGAAGGATAAGCCCGTAAGTCAACACTAAGTGGCTATAACAATAAAACTGTTGTTCAATGTTGGCTGTGTTGCATTCTACAACCTGGAAGTAGCTAAGCCGTGATATGTTAAGTTGCAACTTCCCAGCCCCACGGACTATGTGGGCAGGGTGGCATGAATCTGTCCTGAAAGAAAATGTTAATTTGGCTCTTGCAACTGTGTGTTTTATGTTGTGTGTATTAAGAAAGAGAACTTTCAACTGTTTCCTGGGATTGTCTATTTTTTTCTCTTTCTAGAGCTCTGATTCCTTTAAGGGGATGACTGTGGACTTCACAGATGAGGAGTGGAGGCTGCTAGATTCTGGCCAGAAGGCCTTGTGCAGAGAAGTCATGCAGGAGGTTTCTATCAATATGGCTGCTTTGGGTAAGGCCAGGCTATTCAGTTCACTATAAGGTCGTGGCAGAAATATTCACCATAGAATTGAGAAATATCCTAGATACTCCGTGGAAGTGACTGAATAGATAGACTGATTCAACATCAAAGCTTTAATCTGTTTCTATATAATAGAGGCTCCTAGATAACAATTTCCAGATATCACATCCTGGCTAGAGAAATGGATTATACTAAACCTGGAATGCAGATTGGCATGTTTTTGATGGGGGGAGGGACTTCTAAATTGTAATCAGGATATTAATTTTCATTTTTCTCATGCAGATGATGTGTGTGTGAATGAGAACGACAACGAGGCAAGGTTAAATGTACTCAAAATAAAGAAGAATAAAATAAAAGTAATGCAAAGGAGAAAACAGCCAGAAAATGGAGGGGAGAAATCATCCACTTCTCTTGGTATTCGTGTCTTCCTATCCCAGCAAGATCAGAAAGAAATGAGAAAAGAAAAATATAGAAAAAACGAAAACATGAATTTGAATTACATAACTATGGCGGAAACCAGACTAAAAAAAACTTGCATGCCTCTAGAAACCATGGAGAATAGCTCCTTCGCTTCTACTTCACCAAAGGAATGCGAACCACATACCTCTGTAATATCTTTGGTGGATTCCAGCCTGAGCAGAAAGAGGAAAGGCTGCATGCAGTATGGAAAGAATTTCAATACGAAAAATAATCTTAATGTTCGCCAAAAGATGCACACCGGGGAGAGATCATATAAATGCATAGAATGTGGGAAAAGCTTTACCCAGAAAGGAAATCTTAATCGTCACAAAAGGATCCACACTCGGGACAGACCGTATAAATGCATGGAATGTGGAAAGACCTTTACCCGGAAAGGACATCTTAATCGTCACAAAGGGATCCACACTGACGACAGACGATATAAATGCATGGAATGTGGAAAGACTTTTACCCGGAAAGAACATCTTAATCGTCACGAAAGGATCCACACTGTAGGGACAGACGATATAAATGCATGAAATGTGGAAAGAGCTTCACCCAGAAAGAAGATCTTAATCGTCACAAAAGGATCCACACTGGGGACAGACCATATAAATGCATGGAATGTGAAAAGACCTTTACCCGGAAAGCAGATCTTAATCGTCACAAAAGGATCCACACTGGGGACAGACCATATAAATGCATGGAATGTGGAAAGACCTTTACCTGGAAAGAAGATCTTAATTGTCACGAAAGGATCCACACTGGGGAAAGACCGTATACATGCATGGAATGTGGAAAGAGCTTTATCCGGAAAGAACAACTTAATCTTCATGAGAGGATCCACAATGCATGAAATGTGGAATGACCTTTACCCAGAAATTTGATCTTAATTGTCACAAAAGAATTCGCACTGGGGACACACCGTATAAATGCATGGAATGTGGAGTTTCATTAGGAACAATCATCTTCATTGCCACCAAAACAACCACACTGGGGAATGACTATATAAATGTATGGAATGTGAGAAGAGCTTTACTTGGAAAGGAGATCTTAATTATCACAAAAGGATCCATACTGGGGACAGACTTTATAAATACATGGAATGTGGAAAGAGTTTCATTAGCAACAATCAACTTACTTGCCACCAAAGGACTCACAGTGGGAAGCGACCATATAATAGACTGGAAAAAGCTATACTGGGAAAGCTCATCTTAATTGTCATGAAAGGATCCACACTGGGGATAGACCGCATTAATGCACAGAGTGTGGAAATAGCTTTACTTGGACAGGACAATTCTCACAAAGAGCATATAAATGCATGGAGGGTAGAAAGAGCCTTTCTGAGGAGAGAGGCGATACTGGCCTCCAAAGTATCCACAGGGGAACCAGCCCACAAATGTATTGAGTTTGGGAGGGAAAAGCCTTTAATGATTACAGGTAGTCCTTGATTTACAATCACAATTAAGACCAAATTTTCTCTTGTTAAGTGAGACATTTGTTAAGTGAATTTTGCCCCATTTTACTCCATTGTTGCCTATGTTGCTAAGTGAATAACTGCAGTTGATAAGTTAGTAATCCGGTTCTTAAGTGAATCTGGATTTCCCCATTGACTTTCCTTGTCAGAACATCACAAAAGGGGATCACATGATCTTGGGACACAGCCACAGTCCTGAATATAAACCAGTTGCCAAGCATCTGGATGTTGATCACATGATCATCAGGATGTTGCAATGGTTAAGTGTGAAAATTAGTCACTTTTTTCAGTGCCGTTGTAACTTTGAAATGTCACTAAACAAAATGTTATAAGTCGAGGACTTCCTGTACAGCAGACACGTCAAACAGAAGGCCCATGGGCCAAATCCGGCCTGCCGTGTGGTTATATTTGCCCTCTGGAGCCACCCTAGAAACGGCAAAGGACCGACCCCATGGTGCCTCGGCCTGGCCCAGGCTGACCGGGTGCTGATCCACAGGAAAAAAAAAATGAATCCATGCATTGAGCTTTATTTGCAACAGTCAACTTATTATTCATCCAAGGATCTAGACATTGCAGGAAGTTCATTAAAGCACGGAAAATGGAAAAAATACCTGGTTTGAACTGGAATATTATCTACATCCAAGTGGTCACACAGGAGAACAGCTATAAGCAATCGAATATCAAAATTGATGAGGGCAGATCAGTGATTTTAGTTATAGGATTATTTATTTTTTGTTTAGGCAGATGTTTGTTTCCACTCAGAAATAATTCATAGGAGAAAAAGAAATTCAAGCCTATTTCAACCTGCCAGTCTCCTCAGGGATGTAAGAAGCTCCACCTTTTGAGGGAGTGACATGAATTCCTTCTCTTTCTTTGTTCTCTCTCTTTCTTTCCTCTAATGCAGGAACTGATTCCTTTCAGCTCGTATTCTAACTATTCATTCTCATTGAAAATATAGTAAACCTTATTAGAAAGTCTTACATGCCTTTGTTTCTCTTCTTTACAAACAAACAGTGGAAAAGACTTCTGGAGAACATGGATAGGGATGAGGTAACGGGAGAATGAGAATGACTTTGGC